ATGCATGCACGAATGCATACATACATACATAAATGCATACATCATGCATGCATGCATACATACATACGTACATACATACATACATACATACATACATACATACATACATACATACATATGTACGTAGACACCACATACATACGTACTGGTGACATGCTGACATGACATACATGACATGACATACATGACATGCATGCCTGAAGCATGTAGTCTGACAAAGAGTGTGCATGTTTGTCTTGATCCTCTCGCCATTCAAGTTGACCCTTTGTGCCTCTAATGCTGTGCACCTTTCCGCTTAAGGCTTGTGGAGTAAAGCAATGGCCACACCCCTAAACCCGGTGGAATCTGCACAGCAAAGGGGTGTGTCACCGAGTCATCATCCCCCTATCCATCCCATCATCATCGTCATCACTTCATCATCATCATCATCGTCATCAGGAGCAGCAGCATATCATCATCCTTCTAAGCATCGTCAACAACCGAATCACCAACTTGAGAATTGGGGCCACCTGTGGCGTCCTCTGAAGGATGCAGCAGAAACTCATGTTAGAAGGCAGTGGGCACGTAAGTCGGCACGAGAGCCACAGATCATCCGAGGCTTGAGCCCTTGAAACCGAATGTCGAAAAGTCGAAGAGCATCGCAGGATTTGATGGCCTGGATCTCTCTCCTTCGCCAGCTGGCCGGCCGGGGCGGCCGGGGCCCGAAAACCCAGCCTCAGGTGAGACAGAAGGAGCAAAGAAAGCTTAAGGCCTGGCCAGGCCCCAGGCCCGAAGCCCCAACACCGCATGCCGTGGCTGAGGGCTGAGGCAAAGCCTCATTTAAGACTGAACGGAAAAGCAGCGCGCTCTGCAGGGCGGCCGGGGTCTGGCCGCCGGCCTGGATCTGAAAGGGCGGCGCCGTCGCAGCCATCGCAGATGCAGTCGCTGCTCTCGAGAAGCGGGCTCTTTGGGTTGGGATGTCATGCCTGTCTTGCATCTGCATGCCTGTGCTGCCTGGCTTCAATGTAGTTCAGTCCACGGCTACGGTCTACGTCCTCGTGTCTAGTTAAGGGGACAGCCACACTTGGACGCTTCAAGAGATGCGATTGGCAGGCGTTTCAGACACGCCAGGGTGACCGAGGAGAGCCGTGCTGAACCTGTCAAAGACGCAGCTGAACCATGCTGGAGTTCTGCTTTGCTGAGGCTCCCGCGAGATCGCCCCCACCAGACCCCGGCGAGCCGCCTTTCACCCGTCAGCGAGCGATTAAAGCTTCGTTCCGCTCCCTTGCGCTCACCTCGGAGTGGAGCCGAGACGGCGGAGATCTTCCAGGCCCACAGCTCTGAGAGCCAGAAGGCCACGCGGCACCCGGGAGCCTTGGCGCCGGCGCTTCCGTGGACAACGCCCCGCGCTTTCGACGTGTTCTGCGCGATTCTTCGCGATTCTGCGAGCCTGCGCGTCTGGCTGGGAGATGCGGAGAAGGGCTCCATGGCGAAGGAGACATGAAAAAACAAGAACCAAGATACTCACAGGGTCGGTGCTCATGCAGCTGTCTAGATGCTTCCGCAACGATGTTGGAACTTCGGCATCAAGCAACTCCGACCCGAATGCATAAAAGCGTGCTTGGAGGGGCTACAGTAAGCGGCTGCTATCTCTCTATCTCCGTTGTGCAGACTACTACAGATTACCCGATCGTGAGTATCCAAGTTTGTGTTCGCATCTGCAGGCCCGAGCACTCGCTGGCAGGTCGATGCTTCGTCCTGCCAGTGTAACCTCACAGCAACATCCCCTGCTCTAGACGTGGGAAATGAGAGAGCGGCTTCGAACTTGGACGAGTTTCGTCAATGAGCGCTGGTCTCTTCACAGGCTGTACAGATGGGCACGCGCCCCAAAAGGGCGCGCAGCCGCCAAAACTTTCGGACACCGCGCTCCGAAGGAAATCTCGCCTTGTCCGGTGCCGTAGCAACAAAAGAGCATGAGATAAACAATAAAAATCATGATAATACTGAATAATGATAAGGATAAAAAATAAAATAAGCATGAGATAAACTTCAAGATGTTCTGGCCATGATGTGGCCGACAGGCGATGGCTCCTCCCCCGGAGAGCGTTCAAACCTTCGTCCTAAGCTCAAAAGGCACATTTGTTTAAACCCAGAGGAGGCCCCCCTGAACCTCGGAAGCCTTCGATCTTTTATCGAAGCCTTTTGAGACCGTTGCAAGGCTTTTGCTGCCTGTCTCAGCTTCAGAGATTCAGAGCACCCCCTTAGCTCGGCCAACTTCGACGAAAGCATCGATGCAGCGCTGCACCTGTTCCGGCCTCGGCGCAGCTCAGCCCCGCGGCCCCTTCCCCTCTCCAGCTCGCTGGGTCTTCGGGGAGTTGAGGTAAGAGGGTTAGGAGCTTTGAGGGCGAAGTTGGAATAAGACTGGGGGTGTGGCGTGTGGGCCGCACTCATCTGCACCCGGATGCGCGCGGCGCCCTTCGGCACCACCGGGTAGCTAAAGCCGATGACCTTCGAAGACCGCTCAGCTCAGTGCTGCGGCCTTTCGAAATCTAGGGTCACCGAGTGCTCGGCATAGATGCCTCTCTTCAGCATCTCATCGGCCATCTCCGAGGCGAGCCGGGCATCTCCCAGCATGACAGGAACAATCGGGCAACTCCTCCAAGCGGGTGTAGCCAGGCTGCACGCAAGAAAGGGTTCGACGTGGGCAGCTAGGCCAGCTAGGCTCGGGGCTCGTGGCCGCTCAGCTTGAATCCGGCGGCTCGCATCGACGAGCGGAACTGCTTAACATTGGCCTGGGGGCGGCAAGCGGGGGGCAACAGCAACAACTACGTCTCAGTAAGACAAGCCTGCACAGCGAAAGAGAAAGGGCCTCAAAATGAACAAAGACCATGGCAAGTACGACGTGACGCCCTGGAATTACATGCGACACGAGCTCCCGAACTCGACAGATCTATCCAACAGCAGGGGTTTGTCAAGGGGCGTCACTCTGAAGAGACCTGAGCGCTCCAGGCTAGTGCTTCCTCTTGCAGTTCTTGCGCTGCTTATTGGGACCCATCAATAGCTCCGTGGAAGACGAACAAGCCGCTTGAACCCCACACAAAACCATCCTTGAAACCCGCCAACACGCGAGTCGTCTGATTTTACCCCCCAGCAGTTCGTGGCCTCGAGTCGGCCGCGCAGCTCTTTGCTGCTCGACTCGTCGGAGAGCATCTTGAAGACCTTCCAAACAGAAGTCTTTATTTTCTTGATTCGAGCCTCCAGTTGCGGCTGAGAGTCGGAAGGCCCTACATTGCCCTACATGTCTATACCCCCCGTACACTGTATAGTTACTGTAGATCATGAGGAAATCCGGGTACCATCCCAACGGTTGCAGCCGTAACCCTCCTTCCCTCACAGCGTTGTGCCTGTAGTGATGCTCCGGCCACCTCAGCAGGGATCGGACAGTTTCCTAAGGCCCACGTTGCGATGGCAACAAGGTGGCGACAGAGGGGGCCAGCGTGTTGGAGAAGAGATACGGCCTGCGCTGACACGCTGACACCACTCCCAGTGCTCCCCCACAATACTGGGTGTTTCGAGACACGGCCTAGCTCTGTTGCGTAGGAGGTCAATCAAGGCCTCAAGGTGCCGAAAGCTCTGAAGACCTCTCGGGTTCCTGCTTCGCTTCGCGCAAGCCTTCGGTCCCGTCGTGTAGCCGCCCGTGGCGCCGCCCAAGGCTTTTCCGAGGGTGCTGTTGATGATGTCCACGCGATCTCAGCACATGAGTACGGCTAAGGGCTAAGGCGGCCAAAGGGTGGGAGAGAGAGGGTGAGAAAAGCCACAGACCATTCCAGGCTCCGAGTCCCTGGCCGGCCACTCCGCACAGCTCCGGCGTACCCCGCCCCGAGCTGCCTGGGCTTCCGCGGCACGCATGGGCTCTCCTTTCAGTGCGACTTCGAGGCTTTGGCCAAGGAAGCCTGTGGCATGGCACTCGTCCACGAAGACCTGGGCCTCGTACTTGTCTGCGAGGTCGCAGATCTCGCCTGAG